CCATGTTTCTCCCCACTGTCCAACTCTGTTGCCATCCCCACAGGCTGCCGGTGGACCACAACACATCATAATTCAGACTGTCCAATGGACCACGTTCATGGGCCGGGGGGTCATCAATCCATGGGCTTCTGAGTTCATTTGCCTGATGTTCCCCTCCGCCCCTCTTCTATCCACCCTGGATAGAAAGACATGTTCTCTCCATCTCTACGGTATATAACATTGATAACTTACTGGGAATAAATCCTGAGGCCCGCAGGTGTGTAGCTTTTAGCATGGTGGATAGTCCTTGACTTACGACTGCGATGGAGACCAGAATTTTTCTTGCTAAGCAAGGCATAAAATTGGGTGTGGGTATGTAATGAACCGTTTAACAATTGGCTGGGTGACTTTGGGCCCATCACCGGGTGACGGTGAGTTCTAGTCTTGTCTTAGCCATGAAAGCTGGCGGGGAAACTTTGGAACAATCGCTAGGAGGCTGTGAGTTCTAGTCCCGCCTTAAACATGAAAGATAGTTGGGTGACCCTGGGCCCATCACCAGGTGATGGTGAGTTCTAGTCTTGTCTTAGCCATGAAAGCTGGCTGGGAAGCTTTGGAACAATCGCTAGGAGGCGGTGAGTTCTAGTCCCGCCTTAAACATGAAAGATAGTTGGGTGACCCTGGGCCCATCACCGGGTGACGGTGAGTTCTAGTCTTGTCTTAGCCATGAAAGCTGGCTGGGAAGCTTTGGAACAATCGCTAGGAAGCTGTGAGTTCTAGTCCCGCCTTAGCCACGAATGACAGTTGGGAGACCCTGGGACAACCACCAGGAGACAGTGAATTCTAGTCCCATTTTAGGCAGGAAATCCAGCTGGGTGACTTTGCCTAGGCTCCCACCCCCACCCCACCGCCAGTCCAACCCATCTTGTTGTTGTGGGGAAAACGGGAGAAGGAAGGAGCGCTAGCTTATTTCTTCATTAATTATAAAGTAATAAAGGTGGGATTAAAAAAAACAAATCACCCGATCAATAAGCAAGCTTCTCTCCAGCCGTTCTCAAGTGGCCCTCGCTAGGTTGCGACCACATTTCCCACCAATTCCACCTGCAGGGACGTTGGCACCGGGCGATATAAACCCTGCCTCCAATGACAAAGTCTTTGGCTTAGTGTAGCCCAGGCCTTGACCCCGCCCTTCCGTTGGAAGCCCTGGAGATGCAGTGGCGGGGGGTGGGGGGTGGAAAGGGCCCGGATGCATGGCCTCAAACCTTCCTATTTTCTCTCTCTTTCCCTCTTTCTCTCCTTCTCTCTCTCCCTTTCTCTCCTTCTCTCTCTCCCTCTCTTACTTTCTCCCTCCCTCCCTTTATCTCCCACTTTCTTTCTTTTTGTTTATATCTATCCCTCTCCATCTCTCCATCCCTTTCTTTCCTTCTCTCTCTCCCTCCCCTTTTCTCTCTCCCTCCCTCCCTCCCTCTTTCTTTCTCCCTCCCTCTCTTTCTCTCCTTCTCTCTCTCTCCTTTTCTCTTCCTCCCTCCCTCCATCTCTCTCTCCCTCTCTCTTTCTCTTTCTATTCCTCCCTCCCTTTCTCTCCTTCTCTCCCTCCCTCTCCTTCTCTCTTTCTCTCCTTCTCTCGTCTTTTGGCTCTGGACCAGCCGCTACAACTCCTCTCTTCCAGCCCAGAGCTGCCAATCTGCATTCAGGAGAGGTGAGGGCTGAGTCATGTCTGTAGTGCTGGACTGCGTAAAAATAGCTCAGTCACTTTTACATCCTTTCAGTCGGAGAGGAGACGTATGTTAAATATATCTCACTGGGAACGCTCAGTGCAGCTCTAAAATTCTGGGTTTTAGCAGCTCGCGGGCCGGGTTGTTTGACCCAGAAGGAACCTTAGTCAACTGGCGCTGGCAGCGGTTTTCTGCTGTATTTGCTTAGATAATAGCTGGACTCTTTTTTCAGAAAGGAGTAAACAGGCGGTGGTGATTAACCTCTCTCTCTCTCTCTCTTTTTTGCAATAGCTCCCGCTATTCAGTCACACACTTCCTGCACATGGGGGCTCTACCTATTTCCGGTGGATATTAGATCTTTACTCTGGATAGGCAAGTTGGTAGGATAATGTTGGTTATTGCTGGCTGGCTCTCCGCAAAAGGCGTGATTCGGTGATCAGTTGCAGGAAAAGATTTTATGCACACGCGCGCGCACACACACACACACCTCGGTATATTTTGGATGTGAGGGGATGGAGAGCAATTTGGGATAGAAGAAGGATCATTTTTGGGGGGTTCAATAGACAAAGCCCATCTCTTCCCAACATATTTTTTTAAAAAAAACACGAACCAACGGGACTCGCACAAGAATCCGTTACTGTTTCCCCGTAAAGATCTCCGATTTGGCATCAAGTGGACTTCTCAGGTTGCAGATCTTCGGGCATGGAGATCTAAAGGGAGATCTGGGAGCCACTTGGCCTAATCAGAGTGGATCTCTGGTTCAGAAGGCACCTTTCTAGGCCCAAATGGGTCGGTTTTGCAGTGAATCGGTCCCTCTCCAGCCCAATGAGCAGTGAAGAAGAAAAATGGGACTTCTAGTAATTTTACGACGATGTCCTTGCACCAAAACAGAAGGAGGTTACCATGCATGTGTTCTGGAAGGTTCTCTGGCTCCCTCAAGTCTACTCAACAGCCCCGAGATGTCCTTAGAAGACCTAACAAGATCCCACAAGCCGTTCCCTTATTTTGAGTTCGGTCCAAGTTGACTACATGTCATCCCCTAGTTGGGTGCAACCATCTACTCTCCAACTTAGAAAACTTTTCTCTATTTTAATTTTTTTTTAATTTTAATTATAAGAATACAGCACGGTGCAGCCGATCTAGCATTACAATTGTTACACAGTTGTGCTCCTAAGTTTACAAACCCTGGCAGATTTCTCATGATTTCTTGGCCATTTTAAAGACGGTATGAATGATAACATTTTCTTCCACTCATAGTTAGCGGGTCATTTGGGTAGTTTCTGTTGTCATCGTGATTTAAAAAGAGTAAACACAGTTGATTGATAATAAATGGCTTCAGCCAACTCCTAACCACGAGTGAAAGAAAAGTTTTTGTGTGCATTCCTATTCTCTGAAAAATAGCCAAGAAATTATAAATTCTGCCAGGGTATGTAAACTTAGGAGCACAACTGTACATATATACATTTTACTTCATCGTTTACAATCTCCTTGTTTGATATATTATTTCCTAATTATTCTAATCCTCTTAGCTACTTACGTTCTGACCTTGCCTTCTTCTAACGCAAACACTGATAGAATTTATTCCATGTTTCATAGTACGTAGATCCTCCCTTGATTTTTAATTCTAGAGATAACTTATCTGGTTGTGCAGGCCATAATTTTCCTTATTATCTCTGTTTCTGGCAGTAGGTTTTCATTCTTCCAGTATTGTGCATATATTATTCTGCCGCAGTCAGTGCAATGTACTATTAGATAAGTTAAATCCTTTCTATATCTTTCTGATATTATTCCTAGGAGGGAAAAAAATTCTGGTTTAAATGGAATACATTCTCCCACCATTCGTTCCACTCCTGAATCTGGATCAGTCTCCGATATATATATATATTTTTTGCAGCACTGCATGTGAAAAAAAATGTGCCTGGTGCATCTTTGCACTTTACACAACCAAGAGGACTTCTGGTGGTCAAAGTGGACCTTTCCAGATCCAGCTCAGCCCCATCCTTCAGGGACCCCAGAGCTGTTTTTAAAAGGGACCAGAAAAACAGTTTGACCCCCAAAGAACCTTCTCCCGTCTTTGAGAGGCAGCTTAGGAGCATCTGCAAAAAGGATGGATGGAAGATCTCCCTGAAATGGTCTATCTGTCCGACACAGCTGTCCGCAGTATCCAAAGTTTGTTAGGGTGAGTTTTTGGGGGGTTCTCCCACTAAAGGGAACAAGCATTAAAGAAGCCAAAGGACTCTAGTCTTTTCTTAGCTTGGCAAGAAACACTTAACAAAAAAAATATATCTTGCAGTCCTCAATGTGCTTTTCATAATGTGTAGAAGGGGTGGGGGGCACTTTAAAAAGAGCTTTAGAATACCATAGAAGAACAGAGTTAGGAGGGACCTTGGAGGTCTTCTAGTCCAACCCCCCTGCCCAGGCAGGAAACCCTACAGCACTTCAGACAACTTTAAATGTGGACATTTCTACCGCTGCCAAAGGTGTGTAGGGAGGGTTCCCACAATTGTACGTGAGAGATTGTTGTCCGTGGGCCAGGGGTTTTTCCACAGCTGCCCAACTGAATTCAAATTGACGGAGGAGAATATTTATAGCTCAGGGCTGAATGGTGGTGTCCTTGGTGCTCCCTGAGCTGGGTTGTTTTCTTGGAGACGTTTCATCACCCATCTAGGTAACATCATCAGTGCCAGAAGGGAGTGGGGGTTTTCTAGCACTGATAATGTTACCCAGTTGGGTCATGAAACGTCTGCAAGAAAGCACCCAAGCTCAGAGAGCACCAAGGACCCCACAGTTCTCCTCCTCCTCCTCCTCCTCCTCCTCTTCCTCTTCCTCCTCCTCCTCCTTTTCCTCTTCCTCCTTGAAAACCCCCTCCCTTCTAACAGTGATGATGTAACCTAGTTGGGTAATGAAATGTCTGCAAGAAAGCAACCAAGCTCAGACAGCATTAAAGACCCTTACTCCTCCTCCTCCTCCTCCTCCTCCTCCTCCTCCTCCTCCTCCTCCTCTCTGCAATGTCCACTTCCTTCTACCCCTGATGATGTTACCCAGTTGGGTCATGAAACGTCTCCAAGAAAGCCACCAAACTCAGAGAGCACCAAGGACCCCCGAAGGTGGATGTAAAGCCAACCATTCGTTGGGAGGACCCAACTGGCGATCAAGTGTCCCCGTGCCTGATCCCTCCTGGGGTTGCGGGCAGGGTTAGTTCTCCGGAACCAGAGGTTGTCGAAATATGGCCGTGGCCCCACTTGGCCCCAACCCGCATCTAACGGTCGATCCCCCGAAACGCGCGAGGCCCGAAGCCGCCGGACTTACCGAACGAGAGGACGAAAAAGAAGGGCAGCCAGCAGAGAATGAAGACCCCGACCACGATGGCCAACGTCTTGGCTGCCTTCTTCTCCCTGGAGAACTTCAGAAGCCGGACGGAGAGGGAGCTTCGGAAGGTGTGCCTCTTGGTGCTGGCCAAGGAGTCCTCCAAGACGTTGCGGCAATGGATGCGGAGCACCACTTCCATAGATTTGCTCCGCTCCTTCTTGACGCCGGCTTCGAGGCTCTTGGTGGTCCTTCTGGCCACCACGTAGATGTTGAAGTACATGACCAGGATGACCAAGAGGGGCAGGTAGAAAGAGAAGAGGGAGGAGAAGAGGGCGTAGCCGGGCTCCTCCGTGATGGTGCAGAACTCCTCGCTCTCGGGAGGATCTTCCTTCCAGCCCAAGAGGGGCCCGACGGAGATGATCACGGAGGAGAGCCAGACCAGGCCCAGGATGACCACGGCCTTCTTCTCCGTCATGATGGCCGGGTACTTGAGGGAGTGCTTGACCCCGATGTAGCGGTCCACCGAGATGATGCAGAGGCTCATGATGGACGCCGTGCAACACAGGACGTCCACGGCGGCCCAGATGTCGCAGAAGACGCGGCCGAAGACCCAGAGGTCCAGCACCTCCAAGGTGGCCGAGAAGGGCAGGACGGTGGTGCTGAGCAGCAGGTCCGCGATGGCCAAGTTGACGATGAAGTAGTTGGTGACGGTCCTCAGGTGGCGGTTGCAGGCCACTGAGAGGATGACCAAGATGTTGCCCACAATGGCCAGGAGGATGAAGGCGGCCAGGAAGAGCCCCACGCCCACCGACTGCAGGCTCAGTCCCGGGGTTACGACGGAGGCGCCGCCGCTGCTGTTGGAGAGGGCCTCTTCGGCGCTCCAGGACGAGCTGTTAATCCCGCCGCCACCGGCGTCTCCCGTGTGGTTCCCATGCAAGCTGGCATTAATCCGGTCAGAGAAAGTCATTCTTTTTCAAAACGGCTCAGTCTCCATCGGGCGGGATGGACGGAGGCTCAGTGACGCCCACGGGGAGGGGAAGGGATGCTGGGCAGCCTGGTCTCTCTCCCACGGGCCCCCCCAGGCCCCCCCTACCACATCCCGGGAGGAAGGTTGAGCCCCTGTTGAAA